CCCTGGCTTAGCCAATGACCCACCTAGTCAGGCACATCCACTGAAGGAAGGGGCATGACATCAGACCTAGAAGCACAAGCTAGTCACTCACACCCACCCACACAACTTCAGTTCACTAACCTATCTAACCTATTTTATTTACATCTTAAATGGAGTTTTAATGCTAACATGGCATCAGTGAATCCTGGCGTTGCCATGCTATCTGCTCTAGCTGGTACACATGTAACTGATCTCCCACAAGGTAATAATGCTCCAGATTTTTTAAATAAAGCTCACCAATATAAAGACCCATCTTTCATGTCTAAGTGGCCCAAGCCAATTGTGCCAAATTTGAAGGAATGAAAAAAAACCTTGATCTATGTTCGGAGCGCTACGCGTGTAAGCATAGATCTACATTTGGAACAGTTATTAATAAAACCCTTTGACTTTTTCGACGTATAAATACGTTTCGAGCCAATTTTCTGTGCTATATATACTCAATAATTCCCTGATTCAAATGCAAGCGGTAAGCTGGTAGGCCAATGTGAGGACGGTCTGTGTGGTACAGTTTGCATAACATAAAAAATATATCCTGCAGACACTTTGCGTATATGAGAAAAAAAAACATCGTTTCTTTGAATAAAACCCCCGACTTTGAGTTAATTTTCGTATAGTATTTATCGTGTTATTTGCGTTTTCATGGTCTTGGTGATAAAATGGAAAACATATACAGAAATGAGATGATTTTCTTACTGTTCGATGAAAACGACCTTGAAAACTGACCTCCAAGTAGCGAAATGTTCATTTTTAACCAATTCTCAAGAGTAAATTAAATCAGACCACACGTCCATACGACTTTCTAACTTGGGGAGTCTAATATTTTTCTTATTCTGCAAAATTTTAAATTTACCATTTTTTACAAATAATGTCATCTCTATTGCCATAACAGTGGTAATGATTGTGATTTTTTGTATAAAAAAAAAATTCAAAATAGAAAGCATAATAATAAAGATGGGCCTAGTGGAAAAAATGAACCAGAGCATGTTATTTTAGTGCCACGAATGTCTATCTTGTTTATTCTGGACCATTTGAAATTGGCATCTTTTTTATGTTTGCGTGAAATTGCCAAATTGCAATTTTCATCCACCAATTGGTACTCCATATTAGTAAATGGGAGTTTCTTTACTTCAGCTGAATATAAAATGGTAGTTCTAAAGAAATAGCTATGAGTTTGGTCAACTGACCAATGAATTGGCTGAAAATAGGCTCAAAGTCGGCTGAAATCGCCGATATGCATATTCGCAGAAACCGCTAACTCGCGGAGCATAATTCCCAGGTTTTCGACCAAATTTCGAACTTAGGTGTCTACCATCGAAAAAAATTCTCTAACATTTCATAAGAAAAAATAATTTTTTTTTTTCAAAAATTGAGCGACATAGAATGACAGTTTCAGAGAGGGGCCTGAAACAGTCAAAGGGTTAAGGGTTAATAACAACCCTACCATACACTTTTCCTGGTATACTCAGTAAACTTATTCCCCTATAATTTTTACAATCTCTTTTGTCCCCCTTCCCTTTATATAAAGGAACTATACATGCTCTCTGCCAATCCCTAGGTACCTTCCCCTCTTTCATACATTTATTAAACAAAAATACCAACCTCTCCATCATTATATCCTCCCCTGCTTTTAACATTTCTGTCATGATCCCGTCAGTTCCAGCTGCTTTACCCCCTTTCATTCTACGTAATGCCTCACACACCTCCCCCACACTTACATCCTGCTCTTCTTCACTCGTAAAAGATATTATACCTCCCTGGCCAGTGCATGAAATTACCACCTCTTTTTCTTCATCGACATTTAAAAGTTCCTCAAAATATTCCCACCATCTACCCAATACCTCCAGCTTCCCATCAACTAACTTCCCTACTCTGTTTTTAACTGACAAATCCATTTGTTCCCTAGGCTTTCTTAACTTGTCTCACTCCAAAAATTTTTCTTATTTTCTGCAAAATTTCTTGACAGATGTGCACGTTTTTACAGGTGCAACAAGATATATTGTATCAAATCATCATTTAGTGGTAGCTACAGTGAGAGTAAGGGGTAGAGAATGGGTAATGAGGATCTAAGAATGGATAATGAGGATCTAAGAAATGTTTCCAGCACCAAGCTGAATCCACGTCACAAAGAATTCAGATTGTTCTGGGAAAAAAAGGGGTGCCCTACCCAGAACTAAAGAGTGTACCTAATAAAGTGACCACTGAGTATATACAGTAATTCCAGGCTTCTTATCCTATTATCAGTATTTGTAGTCAATGCCTCACAAAAATAATTGAGTAATCTATCATATACATACTGTACCTTCTGCTACCTTATGTTTCACACTATACATACTTCATTAACAATTCATATTAGTGTACATGTAGTGTAGTCTACCCTATTATAAATATATAATTTCTATCCTTATTCCTATATTTAGGTTAAACAACAATTATACAGGTAACTGAAATAAAGAAATAACTTTTTCTGTTCACTTTAATGGCCACCTTTCACCAAGGCAAGGTGACTAAAAACAAAAAAAAAATCAACATCATTCATTTAATTGTTGTCTTGTCAGAAGAGTACTGACAAAATTCATATTACTCTCCAACTGCAATGTTCCCACTCCTCCTCCTCCAGAGTGCAGGCACTGTCCACCCACATCTAGTAGTCTGCTGAATAAAGCATCTGTACACATTTGGTAAAAGCATCTGTACATATCTGGTAGTGTCATCAATACAAAGACCTAGCCCACTGCATTGTGCACATCAATGTAATGGTTATTTTATTAAACGAACATCACATCACCCCATTCATTAGTCTGTCACACTTAGGTTTCACTGTATTATAAATATACTATACAGTGGACCCCCGGTTAACGATATTTTTTCACTCCAGAAGTATGTTCAGGCGCCAGTACTGACCGAATTTGTTCCCATAAGAAATATTGTGAAGTAGATTAGTCCATTTCAGACCCCCAAACATACACGTACAAACGCACTTACATAAATACACTTACATAATTGGTCACATGCGAAGGTAATCGTTATGCGGGGGTCCACTGTATGTACTCTTTTTTTTTTTTTTTTTTCAACAAACCAGCCATATCCCACCAAGGCAGGGTGGCCCAAAAAGAAAAACGAAAGTTTTTCTTTTTAAATTTAGTAATTTGTAAAGGAGAAGGGGTTACTAGCCCCTTGCTCCGAGCATTTTAGTCACCTTTTACAACACGCATGGCTTACGGAGGAAGAATTCTGTTCCACTTCCCCATGGAGATAAGAGGAAATAAACAAGAACAAGAACTAGAAAGAAAATAGAAGAAAGCCCAGAGGGGTGTGTATATATATGCTTGTATATATGTGTAGTGTGACCTAAGTGTAAGTAGAAGTAGCAAGATGTACTTGAAATCTTGCATGTTTATGAGACAAAAAAGACACCAGCAATCCTACCATCATGTAAAACAATTACAGGTTTCCGTTTTACACTCACTTGGCAGGATGGTAGTACGTCCCTGGATGGTTGCTCTCTACCAACCTACTGCCTATAATGTACTCTTTATAGTTCTTTATTTCAACACACCAGCCATATCCCACCAAGGCAGGGTGGCCCAAAAAGAACAACGAAAGTTTCTCTTTTAAATTTAGTAATTTATACGGGAGAAGGGGTTACTAGCCCCTTGCTCCCGGCATTTTAGTCGCCTCTTACAACACGCATGGCTTACGGAGGAAGAATTCTGTTCCACTTCCCCATGGAGATAAGAGGAAATAAACAAGAACAAGAACCAGAAAGAAAATAGAAGAATACCCAGAGGGGTGTGTATATATATGCTTGTACATGTATGTGTAGTGTGACCTAAGCGCAAGTAGAAGTAGCAAGACGTACCTGAAATCTTGCATGTTTATGAGACAGACAAAAGACACCAGCAATCCTACCATCATGTAAAACAATTACAGGCTTTCGTTGTACACTCACTTGGCAGGACGGTAGTACCTCCCTGGGCGGTTGCTGTTTACCAACCTGTACCTAGGACTCTTTATAGTTATTATATTATTATTCTTCAGAAAACTTATTTAGTCCTAACATTACTGTAAACTAATCCTTTCTCCGTATAAATTACTAAATGCAAAAAAAGAAAACTTTACATTTCTTCTTTTTCAGGTCACCCTGCCTTGGTGGGAGATGGCTGTAGAGTTAAACAGAAATACATACGTTAAACTATCATATCTGAGGTTCATTTAGAGAGAATGGATCAAAGTAGAATGACATGGAGAGCGTATAAATCTGTAGGGGAAGGACTCATCCTCGAAAAAGTTGGAGGGAGGGGGTAAAGGTGGTTTTATGGGCGAGGGGCTTGGACTTCCAGCAAGCGTGCGTGAGCGTGTTAGATAGAAGTGAACAGAGACGAATAGTATTTGGGACCTGACGAGCTGTTGGAGTGTGAACAGGGTAATATGTAGTGAAGGGATTCTGGGAAACCGGTTACTTTATATAGCCAGACTTAAGTCCTGGAAATGGGAAGTACAATGCCTGCACTCTAAAGGAGGGGTTTGGGATATTGGCAGTTTGGAGGGATATATTGTGTATTTTTATACGTACATACTTCTAAACTGTCGTATTCTGGGCACCTCTGCAAAAGCAGTGATTATGTGTGAGTGAGGTGAAAGTGTTGAATGATGATGAAAGTATTTTCTTTTTGGGGATTTTCTTTCTTTTTGGGTCACCCTGCCTCGGTGGGAGACGGCCAACTTGTTAAAAAAAAAAAATCTGAGGTTCACAGATTTATTCTATTTTTTTTTTTTTTTTTTTTAAAGAAAGGTTGTCTCACACTGCGGTAGGATGACCCAAAACAGGACACACATTCACCATCATTTAATCATATAGTTGTCATGCCACCATAAGTGTACAGACATCACAATTCAAATAACCCTCTGAAACACTACACAGACAATATGTACTACATATTCCAATGAAGTTTATTACATACCTCTCCAGTTGCTGTAATATTCTTCCAGAGTGCTGGGTTACTGTTGCCAATAGTAGTTTCCAGAGTGACAAGACCAGTAGACAATATATGAAAGTCATCTCCTGAAAACAATATACCAGGATATGATGAAAATGCAACTGTGTGGCCAGGATTCATATCTTCAGGTCCTGATGATCCAGTGCGGCGAAAAGGAAAAATGTACTTTTTCTGAATTCTCAACATGGATTGGTACCTGTAAGAATCCATAGTGTTAGGAAATTAAAAAACAGTTAGTAATGCTTTGAGTATTCATAAGTAAGTATACTTCTTAACAGAATTACCAGTAAAAATGATGTAACTGGTGGCATACTTTTACCAATAAAAGTAATCTTAACTGTGGCATATCCAGAAATTAAAATTCCTGTGTGTTGGCAAAATTAGGAAAATAAAACAATTCTTTTTCTTACAGATTGTTTCCTCCTATCTTAAGACAAAATTTTCACATTGAGTTTTTCTATGTAATTCAGATTTCTTAACACACAGCCATTTTGTATTATGTCTTTGGAAATTTGATTTCTGTGTGTGTGTTAGGACTGTTATGGTAAAACCTCAATGTAACAGACCCCTGTGTAATGCATTTTGGGAATAAAAGAACAAAATATGTGGCTAGACAAATATTTGATGAAAGAGACTAAGTCCACTCCATAGATATTTTGTCCATTAGCTGTAGTATGTGTCCAGTAGGCTTCCCACTCCATGGACCATTACTTGTTATCAGCAGTGTGTGCCCAGTAGACTCTACACAACAAACCATGTCTGCAGCACCAGACCTCTCGATACAACAGATTTTCATTTCAATGGACACCGTCTTACCCCTATTACTCTTTTAGTATTTCAGCCATGTATCTGAAGTCTCCCAGTACAGCATAAGTTTCATTACTGCATTCGTATGATCTTTAAAGTGATATTCAATTCTCTATTTCATATTACTCGCATTTTTCACAGTTAAGAGCTTAACTCTTAAGGCCCACATAGCACCTTGTCAAAGGAGGCACTCAGATTTGATACAAGGAAAGGGAGGGTCAAAAGGCTTTCATCAATAGTGCAGGGATTATTACTTTAAGATCTCTTTCTCGGTTCAAATTTTAGTGGGTCATTTCAAGTTTTCAGTCTGAATCAAACCTTCAAAAGTTCCTAGGGTGTGTATCAAAAATTTGTTTGAAGTAACTTATTTATGTATTTTGAAAGGTAAAGAATTATCTATGATTTATACAACTTACATACTGCCCCAGTCTGTAGCTTATCTTATGTTTTTATATAATTTTTTGAAATCTTGAAAAAATGGTTCAGCTTTTCAAGTAATATCACCTTTGCCGCAACTTCAACATGTGCAGGTTAATCTTCCACTGGCAGGGAAGGATATGAGATGGGTTCTAGAAATAAATGTTGGAAAATTTCCTTATTACTTATTTCCTGCACTTAGATCTATGCTTCAATCTGTCATGTATTGTATCTCTTCATTTTTCAACTGATTTTTTTAATTTATAAGTTAGTTTGTTGTGCAGTTTGTGGCATTTTCAGGAAGTATAGGGTTACCAATGTTATATTCAGAGGGCTGAGAAGAGTTGTGGAAGTGATTTCACACATTTAGAGAGGATGAGCAAAATAGGAGACTAGAGGGTGCATAATCTGAAAATGGTGGGTAGGAGGAGAAAAGGTCATCCTAGGAAAGGTTTTAGAGGAGAGGGGTATAAAGCAGGTTTTGTGTACAAGGGGCTTGGAGGACTCTAAAGGCATGTTGTGAGATGAGAGCAAGACTGAGTGGAGGCTGTTGTTTTTATGATTTGACATACAGTTGGACTTTTAGCAAAGTAGCATTTATGATGGATTTCAGGAAGATATTGGTTACCAGACTTGAGGCTGGAAGTGGGAAATGTTGTGCCTTCATCTGAAGGGAGTGGGGATCCTGTGATCTTGGAGGGTCCTGTGCATGGTGGGCAAACACTCTAGCCTCACCCATGAGTGTCTGTAGTTTCAATCCCATTCCAGATGGAAAACATGGGCACGTTTTCCCTTACACCTGCTGTCCCTGTTCACCTAGGCAGTAAGTAGGAACCTAGGTGTTCAGCCAACTGTTGTGGGTTGCGTCCTGGGATGACAAGACTTAAGGACCCTCCTAGAAAGAAGACAGACAGTCCTCGATGACTCTGACTTTCTTGGGTTATTCCTGGTGGCTAATCTCTTCCAGATTAGAACATTCAAACAAATATTATCTGAACTGCCTTTATGTTGGCATGCATTCTAGGCAAATGGCAACAAGACAATGACAGAATGAATGTTGATAAAGTGTTTCTTCATTTGCAGCTTACCCTATCTTGGCGATGAGATCACTGTCGAGCCTATAAGGTTACGGCTTTTGAAGCCAGCACAATAAAAAAAGGCACAATACCGTGGCTGCGAACAATTTACAAATAACTGCACATAGAGAGGACGGAGCTTATGAAGGAAGTTTCAGTCGATTGGACCATTACCAAAGTCACATGTATGTCCCTTTTTAAATGGTCCAAGACGGGATCTCGTAGTCCCCTTAACTCGTCATTAAGTGAGGTGAGGCTGGTATTTTTGTAGGTTTTTATGGCTTTACTCTCGTACAGGACTAAAAGTAGCTTGAAGTGAGCTCAAAATAGAGGAAAAGTTTGATTATTGATGCTCAGAGTAAAGGAAACCCCATCACGTGTCCATACCCATCAACTGACGGGTCTGATAGCTTTCACAAATGCCGCTGAGATATTCAACCTTTTTACAATAATGCAGTATTTGAATAAACAGTTAATCTTCTACTTTTTGTGTGAATAAAATTCAAAGTAGAAAATGCAAGCAAGAATTATGAGGGCTGACGTTGCGTACTCCCCATGTGAAAATGTTATTGTATTATGTAGGAAGTGTTTCGCACTGTTTATCTGCGACCCTATTTGAAATTTGGCCTTTCTTGAATTTTATATGAAATTGCCCAACTAATTACAGTAGGGCCACATTATATGGCAGGTTAGGTTCTATCGCCTTACTGCCGCGAGAAAGCAGGTGAATGCCATTCCCTCTTTCCCACACTTCTTACAAATGCATATAAATGACCAGATAACAAGTTTTACACTAACAGTTATATTAGTTATGCAATAGAATTAGGCATACAGATAAAACAAAGTAACACCCCTTCCCTACACTCATTCTTACTTAAAAAATTTGTAGTCTTAAATGTAGGGTGTGAGGTGTGATTTATATGTAGGAAGTCAGGTTTGGATGTATGGTAGCAGTCCAGGTGAGCCCATCCCAACCATGCCCACGCTAATTATGTATATGACATTCTAATTTAAAGCGATCCCGAGCGATAAAATACATATACTGTCAACATCATTAATATACCTTAAAATATTTGTAGTCTTAGTGATAGGGTGGTGTGAGCTGTTTTTAATTTGTAGGAAAAGTCAGGTTTTTGAACAAAATGTCGTATAGTCTGCAGTGGCAAGCCCCTCCCCCCATCGTCCCCCCAACCACAATGATAATGAAAACAATTAAACAGGGCTGATCACGTCTGCTTTCGTACCACTTTCTACTACTGAGTGTACAAAGTTCGCGCTCTCACATTGATACAGTATATATCAATAAGAGAAACACTCCATTTTCATATGCAAGCGCCATTTTTAGAAGCGAAATGATGCCCTGACTGAAGCATACAAAAGAATAATTTTGCTCTCCCCATACTTCTTTATATTTTTTTTTCAACACTTAGTGTGTGTGTGTCTTCACACAGCTCGCCACGGCTGATCCAAAAGAAAATACTTTCATCCATCATTCAACACTGTCACCTCACTCCACACATATCACTGTTTTGCAAAGGTGCTCAGAATTACACACCTGTTACTAGACAGCACTTACACAAATAATCGAACACAACAATATCCCTCCTATATCTGCCAATAATCCAAACCTCTCCTCTGTACTTCCCATTCCAGGACTCAAGTCCAGCTATTGTACAATATACCAGTTTCCTGATCATCCTTCACTAAGTTATTAAACCTGCTCACTACCTCCAACAGCTCGTCGGTTCCAATATACCTATTCGTCTCCATTCATTCCTTATCTATACGCTCATGCACGCTTTCTGAAGTCCAATCCCCCTCACCACTCGACAGCCATCTCCTTTCCTGCCCCCCACTTTTTTTAAAGGATGCTTCCAGCCATACCCCTGCCTTCCTTCCCCTACGAATATTTATCAACTCATCCCATATCAACTCATCTATCTTTCGCTCACAATTCTCTAAATGACCAACCACTCAACAACCCTCTTCAATCCTTACTTACTATCTTAATTAACTCCCCCCTTCTCTAATTACATCCTCACAAAACTTTCTTTAAACTCATCCTACTAATTTTTATCCCACTCATATTCCTCTTACATCCTCTCTTTTCTTCATATCTAATTTCACTCATCTCCTCCCCATAATCTCTATTTTATCTCATTATAATACCTAATAAAATTTTTGTAGTTATCTTCACTCCTTATTCTAATATACAGACTCTAGAGCAAAACTAATATGCCTTTATTATGTTATTTATTATATTTTATCAGTTAATCCCCATTCGCATTCCCACAATTCCTTTAATTCCTCCCCCTCCCCCCAAACCCCACCAACATCCCACCATACAATCCATCCTTTATAAACCACATAAAAACCCTCATCCCCAAACCCCCAAATACAAACTCCCCCCCATCAACCTCCCCCCACCCACACCTTACCCCTTCCCATCCTTAAACCCCCCAACACTCCCCCTCTCTCCGCCCCCCCCCCCAACCCCCCCCCCCCCCCTCCCCCCCCCCCCCCCCCCCCCCCCCCCCCCAATTATATTCCACCCCCCCATTACCTTTTCTTTTTTACCCCCCCCCCCCCCTTTTTTTTTTTTTTTCTCTTTTTACACAACACACCCCCCCTCGCCCACACCTTCAATTTGTATAAGTTGTTGAGTATATATTCAGAGAGAGCCATGTGATGCTATCGCTCTCGCTCAGCAAATCAACAGATATCTCCTTTATTATCAGATCCACACTCTATTAGAACATGGCACCCCACCTCTATTTTTTTCCTCTCTCACGTCCCCTCCTCACCTTGCGCGCTGGGGGGGGTGAAGCAGTGGACCAGGTGTTTTACAGTGAATACTATAAGTGAACAGTTTTTAGATATGGCTAAAGAGCGTCTT